TTCTGTGAAGCAGTAGCGCCCACTCGGAGGCCGCAGAGATTCCCCAGAGCCTCGAGGCCGGAGTCACTGATATGGGGAGGCTCAGCTCTGTGGCCCGGTCGGGAGTCCCCTGCAGGGCCGGTATGCAGAACACAGTGACCTGTGTGGGCCACATCTAACCCTGGCTATATCGTCCTGGTGGCTATGTGGCTGTTCTCTGGGCTTCACTGCTGGTGTGTGTACCAGCCAGGGTGAGCCCCTTACTGGGTGGAGAGACACTAGGGTCCTCTCCTGCTCTGAGCGAGGCTTCGTGGTTTGGGGCTAAGGGATCATCCAGGGCCTCCTATTCTTGATGCTCTAGCAGAACGCCCCTGTGGGCCCTGAGCCTCTGGGTAACTACTGAGGTTTTGGTCCTGCAGAAACCCACAGGACACCATTCATGGGCCTGTCTGTGACATCAGCATCCTCCCTCCCTCTCGCCCTCTCCTCCTATCCTGTCCTCCTGGTGTGTGACAGTGTGACAGCCGGGCCTTGGCGGGTGTGTGGCTTCATTTCTAAAGGCGTCATGATAGTGGCCCCGGGGATGCCACAGTCTCGCGGTGTAAGGGCTCCAGCGTCCTCTTGCGTCCTTGGCTTTCTCTGGCTGGCCGGCACCAGGTGTCACTGGGGCAGCGTCCTCAGTCTGCTTTACCCGAGGACGGACTCAGGATAAAATGTGTGCCATCCTACATCACACAAATGTCCTCAGTGTCACGGAACCCACGAGAGCATGTGAGTTCAGAAACCGGTGCTCGTCCATGGCAACTTCTGCAGAATTGGAGTGGTTCTACGTGACTCTTCACTCGTCTGAAAACAATTTCGTTTTGCATGGTGGTGGTGGGGGGGGAGTGTGCGTGGCGTGCCGCGGGTCTAGGCACGGATTTAGGACAGATCCTACCGTGTGGGTTCTGGGGATCGAACTCAGGTCTTCAGGCTTGGCGGTGAGCACCTGTGCTCGACATCTCACCAGCCTCGTTTTCATGGGTGTTAGCATATTCCGAAGATGCGAGGTGGGAACTCAACCACCCAGCAGAGGAGCTGTGGGGACAGTCTCCAGACCAAGCGGGCTATTAATTATTTTGCTTTATTTATTAGGCGCGCTGCCGTCTCTTAGCCTCCGAGCATATTTGCAAATGCCTTGAGGGAAAAGGAAAAGCAAGCGATTCTTGCCATGCTGGTCTCCAGCCGGTAATGAATGATGCCAGTTAATAGCAACGGCAGCATCCTGTGTGGATGACGGGGCCTGCGGTGACACGTGTGTGACATGTGTGTGACACGTGTGTGTGACACGCAGACCAGAAGCACACTGGACATCTTGAGTGAAATGTTTCTTCATTTTCCTGGGCAAATGGGTGCGGCCACTCGACTGGACTAAGGGAAGATTTAAATAAAAATGGTGCCCAAGAGGATGGCGGGTCTTTTTTTCTCCCCCTCTCCTCCATTGCAGATGAAAGCACAGCCCTCCCCACCGTCCACTCACCCTCCATACAGCTGGGCTGGCAAGGGGAAGGCAGGCCGGCTTGGTTATCTTTTCCTAAACGGTGTGGGTAGTAAACCTGAGCGATGCGCCCGTCTCTCTCTGCCTGTGATTTACACCTTTCATAATTAGCCCTGTGCGTGCCCACGTGGTGTCACGCTAATCGCTGGAACCGGGAGGCTGCTCCGCTGGCTGCAGCAGCCTCGTTCCCAGAGTGTGACATCCTGTAAAGAGCTGTGATTTATTCCATCCATCCCTCCTGCCTGGGACAGCCGGGTGGCTCTCCGGGCTGGACCGTGGAACGGTCTGAGGGCTGAAGTGGCAGAATCAGGCCGGCTTCTCCCAGATTGCTCCTGTCTCCACTTGTCAGAAATGACATGGCAAACCGGGCAAGCGGCACAAGGTTCCCTTGGGACTTCCTAGCACTGAGGCCCTGGGAAGCATGCGAAAAACCCCACCACGGCAGCAGAGGTTTAGTGCTCTGACCTGCTGTCCAGGGAGCTGCATTGATTGCCCTCCTGGGTGTGGCTGGCTGAGTGCTCAGCCTCCAGAGAGAGGGACAGGTCAGCAGAGAGCTGCAGGGCCCAGCCTGGTGGGTGGATTGATCCACGGCTCTGCCCCCCTTCTGTGTGTGTGTGTGTGTGTGTGTGTGTGAGTGTGTGATGTTAATTACAGCTGACAGTCTTCAGTTTTGCTTGGGATGGTTAGCTTAGTTTTGTGTGCATTTCTGAGACTGTTAAGAACCTAGCACCTAACCGGAGCCGTAGAGCTGTCAAAACTCGCCACCCCATCCCCATGTCCCCGAGAGATCAAACCTTCTCTCCATGCTTTCTCATGCCAGGCTTTTGGAGCAAAGTTTATATGATGTTGAAGATGCCATCCTGGCCTGGGGGAGTGGGACCCCTCAGTACATGGCAGAGATACCAGGAAGGGCGTCAAAAAGTTCGAGTGGGAAGTCTCCTTTCCATGGGGCCAGGGGACCCCAGGGTGGAGGGCTCGATGCCGGCTCTGTCCGTCCCAGCAACTCCATCCATCCACCCCGGCCTCGTCTTGTGGAGGCCTGTGCATGGAACACACTGGGGGCTGTTTCCCAGGGCCATGGGGCTTGGTGCCGTCACCTAGTAAGGGAGGGGTCACGGAGGAGGGGTTACAGGGGGTCAAAGTGCAGGAGGAACTTGAGAAAAGCTTGCAGTGTGGCCGGGCTCTGCATTTTGGGGAAGAAGAGAGACGAGCTAAGCCGAGGCAGAGCATTCCAGCAGGTGGGACATCGAGAGTGAATTCATCAGCTGGGGCGGTGGCGGCGCACGCCTTTAATCCCAGCTCTCGGGAGGCAGAGGCAGGCGGATCTCTGTGAGTTCGAGGCCAGCCTGGTCTACAAGAGCTAGTTCCAGGACAGCCAGGGCTACACAGAAAGAAACCCTGTCTCAAAAACAAACAAACAACAAGAGTGAATTTATTAGCAGCAAAAACACCTGGGCTGCTGGACGTGTTGGGACAACCCTTTAATCCCAGTAGTCAGGAGGCTGAGGCAGGAGGGTCACGGGTTCAGGATCAACCTGAGCTCAAAAAGGGTGTGGGGTAGAGAGACGGTTAAGTGCCCTTGAGAGGACCCTAGTTCCATTCCTAGACCACAGCAGTTGACAACTGTCCATAGTTCCAGTCCCAGGGGACCTACTGCTCTATTCTGGCCTCCAAGGGCACCAGGAGCACACATGTGCTTCATGTATATATGTGGAGGCTAATCATGCATACGTGTGAAAAAACTAAAATAATTAATTCTTAAGACCCTTCTGCTGAGGATCCTTGGCTTTTGTCCCCTCTTCCCTGGGCAGCCAGGCCGTCAGCCGATGGGTGGGAAGACCGCGCAGGAGGGAGGAATTGAGTAAAAGCTTCAGCCATCCCCCTGCCTCACCCGTTCTCCCTTGGAGGGGACGATCTGCGTTCGGGTGGGGTCTGTTCTAGCCTCAGTTCCCGCTAGACACCCTAGGCGGGTATTTCCACGGGACGTAGCTTCGTCTGGAAGGCCTGGAATCGCATGACGCCGCTTGCCCTAGTCAGGGTTTCTATCGCTGTGATAAATGGAACTTGGAGGGGAAAGGGTTTCCTTGGCTCACACCTCCACATCTCTGTCCATCACAGAGGGATGTCAGGGCAGGATCTCGAGAGGCAAGCAGAAGCCACCGAGGAGCACTGCTCCCATGGCCTGCTTTTTATTATGTAACCCAGCACCCCCTGCCTCGGGGTGGCCCCACCCACCCGGAGTTGGACCCTCCCCCATCAATCATTAATCAAGAAAGTGCCTCGCACACAGGCCGATCTGATGAGGGGATTTTTCTCAGTTGAGGCTCCCTCTTCCCAGGTAACTAGATTGTATCAGGTTGGCATAAAACCAGCTGGGAAACTGCTGCTTATCTCCTGGGGACTGAGCTGCCCACATTCCTCAGCCGTGAGCCCCCTCTTCCCCTGCCTCCTCCTGTCCTCCCGGCCCTTCTTCCAGCACTTCCGTTGGTTTCCTGCCCAGAGCCAATACCCAAGGGACACAGAAGCTCCCCAACATCACAGGGTTCGCTTCATGTGGGAGCCGGTGCCTCAGTTTCCCCGTCTGACAATGAGTGTCCTGAGGCGGGTGTAGGAGGGGCAGAACAAGCCTGGGAAAGCTCTCCTCCCTGTTGGTGTTGATTCGAGCTGGGCTCTGTGATTGCTCTCACTCCAGTGAAGAGATTGTAAGGTCAGCCCTGATGGCCGGGCGTGGCCAGTGCACACTCGCCCTGCGTGCCTTTGGCTGGCCATCTCCTTGGGGAAAGAACTCTAGGAAGGCCTTTCTGGGAGCCAAGTCACTGCTGTCACCCTGAGTCCCAGAAGCTCCTCCAGGTCTCCACTCAGCCCCTGACAGTTCTGCTCACCAGAGGGAGGAGACTCAGGTGTAGCTGGGGAACCATGCCTGTGCCCAGTGTTGTGGTGATAGCTTCTGGGTCACTTTGGGACAGGTTTAGGGACATAGGGGACCTTATGCCAACAGCAGTTGGTTACATATCAGGCTAAAAAGAAATCTTTGTCTTCTACACTTCTGGGTGAACTTGCCCCCTCCCCCCTCCCCCTCCCCCCTCCCCTCCCCCCATCATTGCCATTCACCGACCCTTTGAAGTCAGAGGCTGGAACTTCTGAGAACATTCCAGTTGCCTCCACTCTCACTCTTTAAAGCAGTCCTTTTGTCTCACCCACGAACACCTGGTTGGGTCAGGTGCCCCTTTCATAGGCCATTTGGAAGATGGGTTTCCAGAGTGGGCCTGGCTTGGCAAAAATTCCTGCAGCACAGAGCTCGGGTCTCCAGGAGCTCAGCCACCCAGCCCTGGGAGATTGTACCAAGAGCTCGGGTTCCTGATGGAGTTGTTGTTGATTTTTCTGGGTGTGTGGAGACTTCTGAGTGATGCGGCCGGTAGCTTTTTTTCCCCATCTCCTGCTGCCGGGGGGGTGGGGGGATGTGCAGAGCCAGAGAGGATGAGCAGACAGACCAGCAGCTTCTCCCATAAGTGTCCCTTTCCCAAAATGTGGGTGTCTTAGCAGGTGCCCCGAGTGTGCACGGGTTCCGCACCCCGGCTGAACTGGGGTTGGGTAGGAAGACAGCTTCGGAAGGCCCATTGAGGAGAAGGCCTGGCCTTCCTCCCACCGCCTGCTGTGTTTCAGGAGCCGGGCCACAAACCCATTGTCCCCTCCCGCCATCCCCAAGCAGCAGGTTGTACCCCTAGGCATTGATCATGCCTACTACTCGTGTGTGTGTGTGTGTGTGTGTGTGTGTGTGTGTGTGTGTGTGTGTGTAATGCCTTGACTGCCACCAGGCCAAGGTGGAGGGGAAAATGAGAGGTGACCCTTTGGGGCAGAGAGAAGGGGACCCCTCTAACGCACTCTGCTCGTCGACCACTAGCGGCTGCCGGCAAGCACGGGCCAGCAACGCTCACACTCATCCTGCTACAAGCTGGCCCCACTCTCCAGCCCTCTCTGGAGCTTTCCCGCCTTCCCAAACTGGAACCCACCCCACTGGGACGTCCACCCAGTCTCCCTGCCCCAGGCCCTGGCAGCCCCCACTCGGCTCCCTCTCTCGAGTTTGGTGCCTAGATCTAGGACCTCCTTGTCAGTGGGATGGGGGGAGTTATCATCACACTTGATGTGGTCCTCTCAACCTTGTGGTGCCCTCTCGAGTTTCCCCTCTTGTAGGCTCAATAGTGTTTGTGTAGGTACCCTGTAGTAACTGCTTCTCCCGTTGCTGGGACAACGCGGCAGGACGAAAGCAGCTTAAGGGAGAAGGGTTTGTTTGGGCTCCCAGTCTGAAGGCAGAGTCCCTCACAGCAACGGAAGACCGTGGCAGCGGAGGGCCAGGCTGCTGGTCACGTGACGTTCACAATCAGGAAGCAGACAGAGGTGAATTCTGGTGTGTGGGGTGCAGGGGAGGCCTCGAGTGAATGTGTATGGTTACATAAGCATGGTCATGTCGAGGGCCCTGGTGCCTGAGAACCATGGGGATGGCAAGGCTTCCGGGATTCAGGCTTAGGGGAACAGCTCTCCCTTGGTCTGACTTGGGATGCTGACAATGTGAACAGAAAATATCAGTCACCGATGAACGGCCCCTTCCGATGGCTGCAGCCCGAGGCTGCTCCCTCTCCTGCCCGCTGGTCTGTGCTGGGTGTAAAACCTGTTGAAGTTTCCCAGCTGCTGTTGCTGGGTGTCCATCAGAGGGCACAGCCCTCTGGATCCCAGCTTTACTGTATCTGTGACTGCCGTGTCATTTCCGTCATTCCCAAAGCCATTTAGGTCACAGCCCTGGCGCTCTGCGCATTTTTCTCCTTGTTATCATTGTTTGACACCAGCCCGTGGGGTGGGGCTGCCCGCATTCAGGGTGAGCCTTCCTTCCTTGCTCAAACCTCTCCGAACATACCCACACAGGCACACCCAGCAGTGTTTCCATGGCGACAGTAAATCCTGAGGCTGATGGACGAGAACCACACACCCTGCTCTCTGGTTGGTTGTTTACATTCATTGTGTGTCTTCCATGTGGGGTCACGGGACGACTAGTGGGGTTTCTCTTTTCATTATTCGGTCCCAGGCAACAAATTAATTAGGCTCGGAGGCCTTTACCTACTTCCCAGCCCCACAGGCTGTATTCTGTCCACTTGCTTTCCCGAGGACACTTGTCTGTGCCCAGCTGGCAGCCGGTAGCTGCATGCTTAGGCATATCTGCTGGCCCCAGTCCCCACTCCCCATTCCCTTGGGTGACACTTTTCAGAGCTTCTCATCAGTAAGTGCTTGCTTTGCAAGCATGGAGACCTAGGTTTGAGGTGGGTATAGTCGTGCTGATCTGTAACCCGGGCCCTGAGCAGGTAGAGAAGGGAGTTCCCTGGCCAGCCAGCTAGTCTAGCCTGTTGGAAAGCTGAAGTTTCAGTGAGAGACTATCTCAAAAGATAACATGGAGGATGATTCGGGAGGAATTCCTCTTGGTGTCCGTCTCCGGCCTCTACATGCTTGCTCATATATGTACACCACACACACACACACACACACACACGTGTGCACACATACACACTCCTTACATCATACGTTCTCCACACACACTCCACACGCATATACAGTCCATACACACACTAAGCTCTGCACACACACTGCACACACATGCACGCACAATACATACTACGCATATATTCCCCCCACCCCATACACACACACACATACACACACATGCACTCTATAGACACTCCACACACTCTGCACATATGCACACACTACATACGTACACTACACAGAAACTACACACACACATCACACTACACACAAACCTTGCACGCACTACATATACACACACACACTGCACACTCCCATGTATACTACATATACACAAACACCACATAATCATTCATCACACACACACACACACACACACCACCACCACCACCACCACCACAGATCCTCACCTGGGCCCTTTCTTGGTATGCTCATTGACCCTCGTGTCCCCGCCCCCCTCTCCCCTTGGACCCTCCACACTCTTCAGCGCTGCCCGCGATGCCCCAAACCTGCACCTCCAGGATAAAGCCCATTACAGATCATCTCCTGTCCATCGGATACCCCACCTGACTCTATCCAATACTCCCTGATTCTCTGACCTTCCTGGGGTAATTTTGTTTCCTGGGTGTGGCCTGTTCTCAGGCCCTTCTTGCCGGTGCTGGCCGTGCAAAGACATGGTTGGCCCACCCGAATGGTTCCTGTTGGGCATAAGATAAAGTAGCTTCCACATCACTCCAGTCACAGGGAATGGAGACCAGGACCCGTGAACTTCTGGATACACCAGGCTAGCTGACTTGTGAACTTCTGGATACTCCAGGCTAGCCGACTTGTGAACCTCTGGATACCCCAGGCTAGCCGACTTGTGAACCTCTGGATACTCCAGGCTAGCCGACTTGTGAACCTCTGGATACTCCAGGCTAGCCGACTTGTGAACCTCTGGATACTCCAGTCTCGTCCTAGGAGCCCTGTAGAGACATGTGCTGTCATGTCTTGGCTTTATGTGAGAAATAGCGACAGAAACTCAGGCCTCCACACTCACAATTCTCTGACTCACTGCGCCTTCTCCCTGGCCCTATTTTGTGATTTTCAACCACAAAAAAAAGAAGAATTTATTTATTACTTGCAAGTATCAGTCAACTAACAAGTACAGCAGGGTAATTTAATGTAAAATTACTTGCAGTTTGAAGTCATTTCCACAGGACACCAGGAGAGGAGCTGAGTTCACCAACAAGCCAAGTTTCTGTTCCCCTGGGGGCCGTGTCTCACAGTTGGACACATTAAAGGGACTCTTGATTTTCCTCATGTCTGGATGGTCTCAATATTAATCGCCATGGGATTCTCTTCTCTCCCACCCCAGGACCTCTTCTCCCAAACGGCTGGTCCCCTTGGGGTGCTGGTCCCCTCGGGGTGCTGGTCCCCTCGGGGTGCTGGTCCCCTCGGGGTGCTGGTCCCCTCCGGGTGCTGGTTCAGCGTGACTGCCTCATCCCCGTCAATAGGAAGCTGCATATGGGCGCTGTGCCCATCGTCCTGAGGTCAGGGGAGATGGTCGGAAGGTTTTGTAGAATAGAAAAAATAATAATTTCTGAGGTTAGCTTAGTTCATGTTACTCGGGATGGGGATGGGGATGGTGGACCTCTGTTGGGGATAATCCATGCAGTGTGAGAATACTTCCAAGGTACACGGTGTGTTCCTGGAGATAATCCATGCAGTGTGAGAATACTTCCATGGTACACGGTGCGTTCGTGGAGATGTGGAAATGTCACCACTGCCTAATTCCAGAACTTCCCACCTCCCCGTGCCAGCTAGCCATATCCCTTGCCCCCTTGGGCCACAGAAACCATGCGCCTGTTTTCTCTCTCCTGATGTGCTAGTCTGTATGTTTCCTATTAATGTAATCATACCGTGTCTGCCCCCCCTTTTTTTCCAACGTGGCTTCTAAGGTTCCAAATCCACATCCTCGGGCTTGCTTACCCAAGCTGCCTCCCCGGCCTTTGAGCTGATCTTGGTAGGCGCTATGAGAAATGCTCTAATTTCTTTGTCTTGTGTGTGGGAACCTGGATATCCCAGCTGTTGTTTGTTGAAGCCTGATCTCCCCTGCGTTGGGTTATTGGGAAGTTCTCAGAACACACTGGCTAACGCCAGGGCTTGTGTCTGACTCCGGCCGAGCTCTGCTCCCTTCATCCATCCACGTTTTTCCGGTACCCTGGGGGGGGGTGACACCGTCACGAAGACCGTGGCTGTGGATTCTTGGGCTTAGGAAGGGCCCTGCTTCCCGGTTTTCTTGTGCCCTGACCACTCCAGAGCCTTTGTGTCCCCTGTCCGTTTTACTGCCAGCCTTCCCATGTTTGCACAAAGGATTGCTTTGTCCCCGGATGGATTCTGGGCATCTCTGTCACCCAGAAGGGAGCCTTCCCCAGATTTTTATAAACTGTGCGTCGCTCTGCTGGCACCTGCTGGTGCCGTGTCCCCCCCTTCCTGGTCCCCAGAACCGTGAAGATTCGCTCTGTGGTTCCCAGCTGGCTCTGGCGGCCATTTCCAACCACAGCCCTAGGAAACAAATAATGGGAGGAGAGGGAAGAGGAACCTGGCTGGCTGGGGAGCCTGTGGGAGCCAGGCTGAGGGGCGGGGCTGCTGGTGACCACGGGCACTGGAGGCCGACTTGGAGTGTGCAGGGCGGAGGGAGGAGTAACGTGCCCTCCGGAGTCTTCACTCCAGATGTGTTATTTGGACAGGATCGGCTCCTCTCCTGAGTGGGTTCTCAACTGGGCAAGACCAGCCTCCTGAGTCACCCATCCTATGTGCCGTTTGCCATGTGTGACGTGCGGAGACATTGTTGACGTATTTAGTTCATAAACAGGGTTGTCGAAGTCACTCGGGTTTGGTGTCAGAAGATCTCAGCCTCGGGACTGGAGAACTGCAGCCTAGGCAACAGCTTAGGGTCTCTACACACCTACACCCTTCTTCGCTTTTTGCATCTGAGACATGGTCTCCGGTAGCCCAGGCTTGAACTTTTGCTATGTAGCTGAGGATGGCTTTGAACTCCTGATCCTCCTACTTCCACCTCCCCTGGAGCTGGGATTGCAGGCCTGGTTCCCTTTCCTTCTTTTATAAATTATCGTTTTTTGTTTCCTAATATAAATGGAAATTCAGGCTTCCCATAAAGCAGACAACAAAGATAAGAATGGAGCGGATTAGCGTAGTGTCTGACAATCACAGTGTTCCATTGTTCCCGTTAGGAAACCTGAACAAGTAAGAAGATGATGAGATCAAACTCTAATTGTGCCACCTAGAGACACCCGTTATTGTAACATTCATGGCATATGAATGTAGATAAATCTGTAAGGTCGTATCATATATGAAGCCATGTTGACAGCGCTGACGCTCGTGTTCCTCATTTGATGTATACTATGAAAATTTTCTCTGGTTGTTAAATACTTTCATGAAACTTTTCATACCAGCTTGATGGTGTGGCACCTTTATGACCTTGAAATGATGTGTGAAAATAGCCCCTCACGCTTGGAATTTGGTAGTGACACTAGGTTGACATTGGTGGGTGTTTGAAAGCCTCTGTTGGGGGCTGGAGAAGTGGCTCAGGGGGCTGGAAGTACTTGATGCTCTCACAGAAGACCCAAGTTTGTCTCCCAGAGCCCATGTCAGGCGGCTCACAACTGCCTGTAACTCCAGCTCCCGGGTAGCAGATGCCCTCTCTGGTTCTGCAGGCACTGCATCCGTGTGGGCACCACACACAGAGACACACACCTGCACACCTGCACACGCACACACACACCTGCACACGCACACACATACATACACATGCACACGCACACACACACCTGCACACGCACACACATACATACACATGCACACGCACACACACACCTGCACACACTCACACACCCCTAATGAAGAATAAAGTGAGCCAGGCTGGGGAAAATGACTTAGTGGTGAAGCCCCTGATGTGATTCCCTGCACCTCCATGACAACTCACAACCACCTGTATCTCCAGTTCCAGGGGGTTCAATTCCTTCTTCTGGCTTCTGAGGGCACCATGCATGCACATGACACACAGACATACGTGTGGACAGAACACTCCTAAACGTGAAATAAAAATGGAAAAAATAAATAAAATGATAAAAATAAAATAAACCTTTCCAAAAGAAAAAGGTCCATTGGGCTGTGATCGCTGTTCAGCAACCTTTGCCTAAGCGCTCAGTTTGGCATCTGTAGTACACGGCTCTACATTGCATCCCACATGAGGGCACATCCTTCTGCATCCTTCTGGGTTTCCTGGTACTCCTCGGGTCCCTGCACCACGGGACTCACCTGCAGCCTGGCAACAGTGATGCCGAATGTCCCAGAGGCACAAACAACAAAATGAAAAAAAAAAAAAACAGGCAAACCAGAATTCGGAGGGTCTTTTTTTTTTTTTTTGAGTTTGTACAACAAGCACAAAGAAAAAAAAATACCCACAGAGTGCAAAACAAAAACAAAACAACAACAGAAGCCCTTAGAAATCACGTATCTAAAAAGAGGCCAATCTCCAGGATATGTAGGCTCTCTAAAGACCGGGGTAAAAAAAAAGACATTTCCCCAAAGATACTGAAACAGCCACCCAGCCCGGGGTGCAGGAGCCACCGAGGAGAGCCAGCCAAAGCTGCAGGGAGAGCGCCCCGCTCTGCAAGGCAGAGACCATCAGGAGTGTTAGTGAGTGGACCCACTGCGGTGGGAAATGAGAGTACGTGGCACTTCCTCAGAAAATCTAAAAGCAGAACAATGCAGCAGTCCCGAGGGCGTCAGGGCGTGGACCTGAGAGGCTGGGGCCTGGGTGGGCGCTTGTGTTGAAAGAATCATAGAGGATGAAATAGACAGGTAAAGGGACAAGTGTGGACTGCCCACGCCGTGGAATGTCACTCAGCCTTGGAATGGGGTCAGACTAACGTTGCCTAGTGGACCAGCCTTGACAATTGTGCGCTCGGTGAAACGCTCTTGTCACAGGAGGATGAGAGCCGAGTCGGCCGCCAGGTGAGGCTCTTGGGCAGCCAGGTTCACGGACACGGACAGCAGGGTGATGTTGCAGGGGGTCCGGAAAGCAGGGAAGTGGTCAATAATTTCATAGATAGCGAAACACTTCTGTTTCATACAAGCATGTGCCCAGGGGGAGGCAGGTAGTGACTGCATAATACTGTGATTAGTTTAGTACCACCGGGTACTACTCAAAAACGTGTAAGCGAGGGGGCTGGAGAGACGGTTTGGTGGTTTAGAGTACTGCATGCTCTTGCGGAGAACCCGGGTTCAGTTCCAAGCACCCACGTGGCAGTTCGCAGCTGGCTGACCAGCAACTCACAGAGACCCCATGGGGCTGGGGCCCAACAGTAATTCCCGTTCTTGGCGATCCAATGCCTTCTTATGGCCTCCGGGTAGCAGACATGCGTGTGGTGTGCAGATATGCATGCAGGCAGAACATTCCTACACATAAAATAAACACATCTAAATAGTGCTTGCTACAGGAGACTTTATAATATTTTGACACAACAACAAAATTGGAGGTCGGGTCTGCGCTAACAGACCTGTGGTCCCAGGTACTCAGGAGGCTCACACTGGAGGACTGGACTTCAGAATAACCTGGGAAACTCAGTAAGACGCCTGTCTCAAAGTCAGAAGTCAAGAGAGGGCAGGGGTGTAGCTCTGTAGCAGAGTACTTGCCTAAGGATGTGAGCCCGGTCCCACCCCAGACACACACACACACACACACACACACACACACACACACACACACACACACTGCCCTCTCTGTCACTTTGGGTTAGTTAATTGGGGACATTTGTATGCAGGCGGCATTACCGCAGTGTATGCACTGTTTTGGGTCTGGCTTCTGTTGCTCAGCGGAACAGTTTTGCAGTGTCCTGGGTTGGCCGTGTTGTCAGTGACCCAGGCTTTGCCACTCAACCCCTTCCGTGGTGTATGCTCCCCACGGTTAATCCTTTCCGCCCGCCGGGTTGTTCTGGCTGTTGGTTCTCATAGAAGGCTGCAGCCCCTCCCTCGCTTGAGTGTTTCCAGCCAGCACCTAGGAGCGCCGTGTCTGACCATGAAGGCCAGGGTCTTGTGGTGGGCCCAGGCTGCCCTTGAACCTGCAGTCCTCCTGCCTCAGCCTCCTTATGATCAGGGTAACAAACTTGTGCAGCCACGCCTGGCTCATACTGTGTTTTAAAGAGCTCCTTATAAATGCTGGTGGCTGCCAGACGGTGGAGGCGCACGCCTTTAATCCCAGCACTCGGGAGGCAGAGGCAGGCGGATCTCT